ACCAGCCAAATCTACATCTTCAGCATCTTCACTTTGAGAATCCATCAACTTTGCATATAGGAGAGATTTCAGCTCGTCCACCGATTGATCTTGTACTGACGGTTCAGGTACAGTTGGTGGTGATGGCGCAGATGGTGGCTCTTCTTCGACAACTTCTTTACCCTTCAACAATCTTTTCAAGCTAGCGATTTGAGCGTCAAAGTTTTCTTGAACAACCTTTAGGGCGCCGTCCAGATATTCCCTTGACACAAAGTCAGGTAAGCTCACACCTGGTTCACTTAGAAAACCAGTTGAAACAATAGTTGAGTAAACTGCTGTGCCTACGTTCAATGTTGTCATAATGTTAGCATTGGTAGGACTTCCGACCTGTCCTCGTGGAATGTCAAAAGACATAACTCCGGTCGTTCCAGCAAGTTCACTAAGAACTGCACTTCGAGCAACAGATGCTCCTGACTCATGTGTACCTATGTGTATCGGCTCAAGACTCGAGGTGCACAGAATCAAAGTCGTAGGCTGGGGCAGCGGCCTACTTGTTTCAGTAACTACATTCTCCAAATGAGAAGTAGTTAGCGTATGAGCTATATCCCCATGTGAAATTGAAACAATTGGCTGTTGAGAACCAATTGAGTGGATAGGAGGGGTGTGCAAATGCATAGCTGGGCTAGCTATGTCTGCTTCAATACTAACATTCAACACATGAATGTCAGTAGTAGATGTGGTTGCCCGGCTAAGTGTTTCGGCTTGGGAAGGAGCTTGATCTTCTTTTTCTGCTCCACTCACACCCTCTCCATTTTCTTTTTCTTCCCTTTCTATCAATCGCTCTTCATTTTCAACTTCAACTCCCTCAACTTCTCCTTCATTTGATAAATCTTGAAGAATGCGATCATAATCATCGCATTCATCAATATTAAACGATAAATAACGTAGAATCAGACAAGGTTGCTGAGCTAAATATTCCGGAAAGATCGTAGCAAGATCATCAACAAATGTTCCAACAGGAATATTTTTAGCATTTGCTCCATCATCATCATCATTATGTTCATCACTAGAATCTGCTTGATTATCGGATTCAGTAGCTTCCGAGCTTGGGGAAGCTGTGGAAGTTCTAACAGTTAAAGTCTGTTGCTGATCAGAAGATCCCCCCACCTGTTCACCCCTCTCACTTACATTTTCTCTCAGCACACTTCCCTGTTCAGGTACCCYTTGTTCHYGAACTCTCTCTTCTACTTCTATTTCTCTCTCAGCTGAGGCATGGGGTGATCCTTGGGCAAGTTCAACCGGTTCTGGTTGAACTATGGGATCTATCACTCTTCTATAGTCTATGACACACTAAGCATTCTGATCAGTTAGAGCAATCAATTCTGGTGGAACTGGCATAATTGAATCCAAATCTTCTACTTCTGTATGC